TTCACTGAAGTCGTCTTTCTTTATCTCGCTGAATATTCTAATTTCCAGATTATGAACACTTGACTATGGAGACTTTAATAGCCAATGGAGCATGAATTCTATCTCCTGTTCTCAGCCCTCAGAGGGAGGTGAATCATCTCAGCCAGTGTTTCCCAAAGATTTTATGGGTGGACACTTTTTTTAAGGATGACAAACCATCAACACCCCACTTCCAATATATACAGCCCCCCCCTCCAAAAATGTGGGAGCACTTTATAAAAAACAATGCAGTAAAATCTAAAACTGTCAATTATTACATTTAACTTTTATCAAGCAGCTAAAACTCCTTTCACCTCCATATGTGAACATATTTTTGAGGTGACTTTTTTAGCAGGTTAACAGTCTTTGTCCTGGGTTAGAACTTGATGCTGCATCTCCCTCTGTCGTTGGTTAAAGGCCAGTCCATCCATCTGATAGGATATGTGGAGATGAATGAAGTCAATGATAAATGTATGTGTGTTAAGGCCTGTTTATCAGGTATCACTGACATATTGGAATTTTTGAAAGACCAATTTTGGGAAAAACCAAAGGATGGTTAGGACGAATGTTGAGGAGAGAGAGAGAAACAGGAGGCAGGAGGTGAGGAAAAAGACGATGAGGAAGAAAACATGGTGGAGACTGGAGGCTCGTTGTTAACATTGGCTGTGTCTACATTTAATTTAAGTTTTTTTTTTTTCAATATTTATTTATGTTTATATATACTGTACTATACATCGTGTACGTCAACAATGGGTTGACTAACATAATCTAACGTGATATAACCTAACCTACCGTTTGTCATTATTATGATGCATTCATAAAAGACTGTGTCTGTGTCTTTATATTTGAAGTCACTGGACATGAAAGACACAAACCATGTAACCAATTTTACAGTGTGTATTTTCTCTGAGCATGCTGGGATTTATTTAAACACGCCATTTTTTGTTTCTCTTTGTTTCTCTCTATCTTTCTCTCTTCCCCTCTCCTCGCCTCTTGAAATATCCACGCTGACATCATGATTGCATCACCTCACACTTCTTCCCCGTGGGTATGAAATCGTCGCAACAGCTGGGCTGTCAGAGGGTGTCATTTCTTTTTTTCTCTCTCTCTCCTTTTAAAGGAGCAGGGAAGAGGTTGCTGCAGAGACTCTGGGAGAATCCTCCAGAAACACTGTCAGCTTCCCTGCTGCTCTGCTCTGAAGGCTGAACTCCTGATGGGTCCCAGCCTTTGACTTATTAAAGATTTACAGAGGGGAGGGTGGGGGTGCTGCAGTTGTGCCCGTGACCTTCAAAGCTGAAAGTAGGGCTGCATCTCTACAAAGACTTTGAGTCTTTGGGCTTTTTAGAGGCACCAGAAGAGACTACCCTGGCCTTGTCAGTCAGCTACATCTGCTGAAAATTGAAAGAGAATTCACAATCATTTGAGATAAGTTGTCACACACACACACACACACACACACAGAACCCTGACTGAGACAGAGTTCTTTCTACACTGTTTGTCCACCTGTGTCAGCACAGAACACATGCAGTTTCTGTTTGTAAAGCCTGGAAGAAGTGCTGGGAGCCAGAGTTGTCATGGAAATTAAGCTGCAACACATGTATTTATTTTAAAAATGTGACTTCAAAATACCCACCTTTGCTCGGGTTTATGTATCGACAAGTGGTTCTCAACCACCGTGCTGTGGCCCATTAGTCTGTCCCGAGAGTTCATCAGGTGTAGCATGGAAAATTTTCCAACTTCACTTAACTGGTCTGAAAACTTTTATTTACTGCAAAAAAATGTCTTGTGGCAGGCAGAATAACTAAATATTCTTCCACTTGGCGGCAGCAGACAGTTTAGACAGGCAGTAGCTACATTAGCAGAACATATCCTGCTCGTCAGGCAGTCAAAACGTGATTTGACAAGAACCAAGTCACAGAACAAAGAAATGCAGTTTTGAGTCCTGCGTCAGAGCTGAGTGGAGCAGCAGACGGTCATGCTCCAGTTAGCTGGATTACACCAGAGGGTCTATAACTGATCACCCAAACTGTGGGAAATGTGTATGTAAGTCACGTGTGTCCTCAGCTGACATTTGGACTTGGACGTTTGCTGGTGGGACATGGTTTTGTCTCTGTAACAAGGCCGCAGAGCAGCACAAACGCTGAGTGCTGTTCCTCAGACATGGTTACACACTACAGGTGTGTTGGCGCTCCAATTTCAGAGAAGTTCCGCTGCTGTCCTCCAGGCTGAGGAGTCCCCGGACTACATGATACAGGCTGCTGACCAGAGCACTGCCTCACTGCCCACCACTGCTCTCAGAGGAAGTGACCTGAATACATCCAATAGCCACGCTCTACTGGAATCCTAGTCGTATTTATATCTTATGTGCTGCTAAAATGGTGCTCCACTGTTATTAATGAGAATACAAAAGAGATATGTTCAAATTACTCTGTATATAAACAGACAGCTACAGACTGTGAGAAATGTTTAGAAATAGAAATAGTTGGTTGGCTCACTGTCTATGTTATTAGTCAATATATTTTGAACAAAAATGATGAAAACGTTTATGTTGCTCTCAATGGCAGGGTTGGAAACACTTAGAAAAGAATTTAGTATTTCAACCGTCATTTGACTGTTCTGTTATACATGGATGACATTGTAATTTTTTAGGAAACCTTTTTGCTGTTTAGCAATTTTTGACATTGTTATATTGGGCCAATTTTAAATTATCATTTAGGTAGTCCTTAGATTGTTTATCTGTGAATACACAAAACCTCTTTATATCTGGGGATCACATTTTTTGGCTTGTTTCAGAGTAACATTTTTTTTTTATCAAGGATTACTACTTTTATGGCTAGTTAAGTTACCTTTAACAGACATTTAGCTACATGTTTCTGGGGTCAACTCAGTATTAGGTTAATATTTATATTTCAGGCATTTTAATATGTTAAGTTTTTTATTCTGGGCGAAATTTCTTTAGTTCTTTAGTTAACATGCAGCTATTTCAGAGTGAATTTGCACTCGACATAGACTAAACAATCAGCTTATCATGCAACTCTGATTGGTTGTCATGTTATAGACATTGTTATTTCTCCATATGAAACTTTTCTGCATCTGCTTGTGTTCATTTGGTCAGTAACCTCAGTTTAGTAACCTTCAAGAAAACATTGGAGCCTGTGCCTAGCATAAATTTTAAGTGCCCAATTTGCCCACTTAACTCAGCTTAAATGAACATTGAGAGCTTATTATGCCACGCTTTTTTTTTTTAACAGACCACTGGTTAATATTTTTTTAATTATTGGGACTAGCATGCAGCAGTTTGCTGAATACCTTTTTTTAACTTGCTGGAAAGGGATTGTAGAACCCTTTGATCTCTGCAAAAGCCTAAAGTAAAATTTTGCAGAAAATAGTTATGAAATGTAGTCTTGTGTTACAGCTACAGTCTGCTGTAACATGAAGGTGTGTGTGACGGCAGCCACTCTGTACTCTTTTTTTTATCAAGGTGGTGAATGAATTACCACATAGATTTGTAAAAGTGGCCTTTGTGGCCGTGTTTGTGTCACAGCCAAGTGATTGCACCAGGTCCTGAATTTTCCACCTGTTACTGATGCTTGCCACAGAGATGCTAATCATCCGGTGTGCCCCAGGCATGATTAAATGTCACACAGCTCCCTCGGTTTCGGTCCCTAAGTGTGAATAAACCCTTCTTCTCACAGGATGAGAAAAATTCAAGTATACAGTACTAATGTTCATCCAGCATCAGGGAGTCACAGCTCCCCCTGCAGGTCAATTTATAATAAGCGACAACATTGAATCACAGTTGACAAATCCTTTTTTTTTTTTTTTTTTTTTTTTTTTTTAAAAAAAAGCAAAGATTGAAGTTGTTTATCATTTGGCCATTTGGCCCCCAAATGTTAAAATGTGCCTAATTTGTTCCAAATATCCAGTTTAGTATGTAAAAAACCTAAAAAGCACATACTATGTTTAACTTATTAAACACTCTAGAATAGTATGGTGGAAAAAAATTTAAAATAGAATTAGAAAAGGACAGTTGTTTTGTTGTACGTATTTTTAACTTTGTAGTTACTGAAAATACCATGGGATTTAACTTAACTTTAACTGACGATCAAATTAGATGTTTTGCTTAGAAACCTAATATCGAACCTTCTTCAAGTTTTGGAAATTATATTTAAAATATTAGGCGTTTTTCTTGTCGTTTAATATCAAGTAGTAAGGGTGGTCGTTGGAGGGTCACGTCTTTAAGGCCCGTTTATGTGAAGTGTGAATGTTGCTTGTTTTTCTAGCCAGAACTGGCAACGCTGCCTCAATATCTCGTGTTAATTTTAGGCTATAAATTAAATACATTTAAGCATTTCGCCATATATTGTTTCTTTTGAGTTTGTTTTATATTTTTGCTCTGATACGAACACACTAATGAAAAACATTGTAAATTCAGATTCAGCAGTTAGTTTAACTTGACAAGACTGCCCTCATGTGGTGAATCCCACCTTAAACTCCTGTGGATGGACTCACAACTACCTACTCAGATAAACAGACTAGTTCAGTGAACATTAGCAAACCTTGGTGCTTTAGTTAAATATATTGGATCTTCAGGAAGGGTCTTCGGACTTCAGACTTATTTCAGTAATGCAACTATTTCAGTCAAATAAATATAGTACCATCACTTACTCTTAATTTCTACATTCTGACTTAGCAATTTAGCTTTTGTAGTCCTCAGTCATTTTAATTTAAAATAACATTTTAACCTTATTGTCTGTCCGACATCCAGTGGTCAACAGCTTCAGTGATCGTCCCGTCACATTAAAGCTACACAAATCGGCTGGCTATGTAGGCTAACGCTACCTTAGTCAACACACAAACACGCCACCACCATCAGGATTATGACTCAACACACCAGCGACACACCTTTGGTGTGTAGTTGTGTGAGAGTTTTCAGCTTGGCAACAAGACGTGAATAAACATTTAGAATAAACATGACCAAGTCCAACAGATAAATGTGATTTATTGATAGACAACAGTCATTGGTTTTACAGTTTACTACAGGCTTGTAAACCAGGGGTGTCCACACTTTTTCAGCTTGGCAGCTGCTTTTCAAATGACTGGGGTAGAGTGATCTACCTACATTTAAACCTATAAATATATATTTACTACTTTGACTAAAGTAGTAAACGAGATCTACTGGTAGATCTCGATCGACCTTATGGGCACCCCTGATGTAAACAAACCCAACACTCGTTGAAAGGTAAATCTACCAGCAGATACTCATCACAGTAGCATTTAAAAATAGTTAAAAGATCAACAGTCAACAATGACCTGATAACAAGACATTGTGAACAGTATTGAACAGTGATAAATGCATTTGCATAGAAAAAAAAAACTTGTAAAGTAACAGTAACAGAAAAATATGAAGAAACAATTATATGTTGTTGAAAAAGTAAACAAATGTGACTGCATCTTTATCTAACGTTAAGATCATTGTCTTGCATAATGTATTTCATCACAAAATGTAAAATGAGTACAACAGGTTTAAAGTCCTCAAATTCAGTAAAGTATTTCATATTATATATGTTATATTTTACATGTTGAACACATTTACAGGCATAAGTGAAGACCTCAGCACCAGCACCAAAACAACACCATGTTTATGCTGATAAAAAGATAAATATGTGGATGATTATAAGAAACAGCAATAAAGCAGCAGCTGACTATGTCTCATTGGTAACTGCATAACTAATCATTATTGTGCTTTTTGAAAAATGTCTTTTGTTTACATGGCAATATTTCATTTTAATCAAGGATACCTTCCTGTGAGTATTACACAGTTTTATTTTCCATATGCTCGGTTTTCTGTGCTTTGAGTGCCTTAGACAACTTTTTCAGATCTGCTGCCAGGGCGCTTGCTTCAGGTCTCTGGCCTGGCTCCTTGCACAGCATTGACTTAATGATCTTATGCTGCAAAATAAATGAGGACTGTGAACATCAGAGAACTTCTTATGAACTTCCTGTGAATATTGAAGTCAGAATTTGAAACCTGGACTAAAATCTTTAATACAGGTCGTTTTTTGTGTGTCCCCTCTTCTCCTCGTCCCTGGCCACTCCATCTCTGACATCCCTTGTCTAATGTATACATTATCTCTACTCATCACATCTAAAACATCTCCACCTCTCCTCTCTAACTTTATCTCCAAACTGTTACACCTTAACTGTCCCTCTGATTTTATTATGATAATAATATATTTTCTTCTTCCATATGTGCATGAATCTTTTTTGGTTTTGGTCTTTTGCTTTATTTCAAACATTTTATAATTAAAAGAAATCATACTGGATATTTCTTAAGAGAATCTCTGCATATTTATCCATTGGAAATATGTTGCATGTGTTAAAAAAAAGGTATTAAAGAAAAGAAAGACCTTTACCTCTTTGGAGAAACAAAACTGAAAGTCTTTGTGGAATTTCTGGGACTTGACTTCCATGAAAACCTGCATGTTTGGGTATTGATGAAAGGATCAGCATGTTAGAACAGATGACTTATACTCAAACAAGCATTTCCTGTTTGTTTTTGTTGGTTGTTTTAAGCGACACACCTTATCTCTTTCATGGCCAGTAGAGATTTTCCAAAGAAGCTCAAAATATATCAACCCCAGAGCGAATATGTCCACCTTCCGATCATAGCTTTTGTTATGCTTGTGAAATAAAGTCAAAATGAAAAGTCAATTTAAGGTGAAACCTGCTGTACAGAAACCTAAGAGAGGAAGAATATCAAACAACAGAAATTAAAGGAAGATATTTTTCAGTAAACATGATTTGATATCATCGTACCTGTTCAGGAGCCATGTAAGAGTGGGTTCCGGTTCCCTTTGTACGCTTCATCAAGTTTTCGTCGTTGTCGTCAGCCTCAGTTGTGACCAAACCAAAGTCTCCAATCTTTACCTTTTTATCCTGTCCAAACATAATGTTGGGAGGCTAAACGGTGAAAAGAGCAAAACAAGGTTCAAAATCAATTGATATAACTCTATATAACTCTTGTTCTCTAAAATTATAACTGCACTGTCTGACCTTTAGGTCTCTGTGGATGAGTTTTTTCTGGTGAATGTACTCGACACCAGCGACAATTTGTTCAGCAAGGTTCAAAGCTTCTTCTCCCCGCTCGGAGTCTTGCCCATTTTTTTCATTCCTCTTTTCTATCCAGTTTTTTAGTGTCTCGGTGCTGCACAATTCCATCTTAATGTACAGGAACTGTTGAGGTGAATTACTGTGGGATCTACCAAAGAAAGGTCAAATGTCACACAAATAGTCAGTATGAAAGAAACTAACACCGGTCTCTGTTTGCAATCACTGTTAAAGCAACAATTATTACAGTAGTTAATTATTTTTAAAAAAACCTGAATGCTATTTAGACCAGACCAAAAACGTGTTGATCCACTGACCCACACTCTGTGATGGCTTTTCACTACAGCAGTTGCACAGCAATCAGCCAGTGTTTTCTCACTGTAACATAGTTTCTCATTGCCCTCGCAGTCAGTTTATTAAAGTAGGTCATTAATGTCAATGGTTTGGAAGTAATTTAAAATCGAGGAGAAACACAGGGGCAAGAAATGCTGAACATGCTAATTACACCTCACCAGTGAGTGTTCATTTGTTCGTTCAAACGTGGAAAATGTGCTGCACAGTTTAGCTGAGACAAGGAAAGCAGGAGACAGTGTTTCCAAATGAAATGTGCTATCACTATCTGTTCGGCTTTTGTTATTCTTATTTTATAGCATTTTAATATTCTGTTCCTTTGTTTTGCTGCCATATCGAACATATGAACTCAATGTGAGTATGAAGATGTTTGTTTCATGCAGATTTGTTTCATTTAAAGTGAAATAGGCTTCTGTAAATGAAATGAAAATGAAACTAAACATTATTGGTCCTCACTCCTTGATGTCTTTGTCAGTCTAATACTGTACATCATCTATGACCAGACCTTCATTTGTAGCCAAAACACTAGTACACAGTGGAAACAGTGGATGAGACTTACCGAGAATCGTCACTTGAACTGTCATCACTGTATCCGGAATCCTCCATCCAACAATTGAAATATCGAACAATGTTATGGTGGGAGAGGTCTGATAAGGCTACCACTTCTCTCAGCGCTTTTCTGACGAAACATTTACAGCAAATATACTGTAAGATATCTGTTATAGACTGCTCTCTGCAGTAAAAACTCTCAGTTGACTTACTTTTTGCCACGAACAATCTTGACAGCGTAGTCTTTGTTTATCAGTATCTCTCTAGCTTTGTAAACACGACCAAAGCCTCCTTTTCCAAGATGAACAATGGAGTCGAATTCTAGTTGAAATCTGTGAAGTTTGACATATTAGTAAACACACACACACCCACTGACCCACAATGCAATTTTTTCATACCTTGGCTGATTCGATTTATGACCGTCATCATTTCTTTCACTCTTGTTTGTTACTGCCACCTGAAACGAAACAAGATTTATATAGAAAAGTTATAATAATAATTTCCTGATAGGAACATACATTATGTCATTCACTATGTCAAGTTACTCTCTGGATTACGGTAATAGTCTAGGTTGTAGATGGTTTAGTGAATTTTAATATTGTTGAAAAGAGCTTTGTTTAAATTCGTCAATATCTTGAATCATCTTGAAGCCACTCAATGTTAAGACACAACACAAATTGTAATAGAAACCCACAGACCTGAGCTTCGACGTGGTCTGACGACTCAGCAAATACAACAGAGTCACTTTTACTGGTGTTTGATGTTTTTTGTGAAGATTCGGTGTAGCCCCTTGCAGAAATGAAGGGCAAACATGTTTATTTTTTCAGTATACAGCAATCTAACCTAAAATGATTTTGCACTAATGAAAATATCAAAATGCAATTACTGTGTATCTGATGTACTTGAGCCATCAGCTGTAGACACAGAATCCTGAAATGCACAAAGATCACTTTACATTTTGTTTAAAGATTAATGAAAAGAATGGTCTCATTTTCAGCCTTAAGTTAAAAATCTGCTGCACTAAATAACTGCTTATAACTGACACTAAATGTAAATGAACATATACTAGGAACCGAACTGTGTCAATCACACCTGGTGATACGGCGTTACACTACAGTTTTGTTAAATACCTTGCTTTCCGAGACTGTTGACTGTGTTTGGAGAGCAGCCAAGACCAGCCTGGCTGCACTTTGTTTGGCTTTGTACTTGCTGTCACCTTCACCTTCTGGATATTCACGGCCGTTGATCACATATTTGCAGAAAAACCTGAAAAGACGTGAGATGTTTCCATCCTGTATGTTCTTAACCCTTTCCTTTCCCTCAGCCTATCATAGGTCTTATTTCAGTTGTAGGTGTTAAGGTGTGCTCACCTGGAAGTGTTTGTTGAACATCTTTTCTCATAGTTGAAGTCAACAGTGAGTCCTTCTCTGTTACAAAACTGGTTGACCTTGCGGACATAATCCTCTCCTTCTCTGCTGTTGTCAGTGGAGGACAGACTTAAGTACCTCATGGAATTTTCAGCAGCATTACAGTCACTGTTCTCCTTGCTGCTACTCAGACTTTTAGAATTGACCTTCTGTTCACTTCTGTCAACCATTTGATTCGATCTGTCAAGAAACGAATATAATCTGATTTTGAAAAAAACACAGATCCATGTTTGTCAGAAAATAGCAAAGGCTATGAACATTTAAAAAAAAACCTAGAGCAAAATGAACATACAACTGGGAATGATAAAGTTGGATATTTATTCAGTTTATGCTCAATAAACAAAACAGTAATTTAATCTAATAGTGTAGTCCAGCTATAACATCATAGTATGATATTCACTTAGCCAACTTACCCTTTCTCTCAGTCATAGTCCAAAATAATAGAAATATTAGTACATCTTAAAAGTTACACTTTACTATGCAATGTTTTTAATTAACAATTAATTTCAAATTTAACTTCACCTTTTCCCCAAAATATTAAAAAAAATATTATATATAAATCACACGGCATAAACATAAACACAAATATGTTTAATCTAATTAATCAAAGGATAGCTAATCATTAATCATGATCACTCGTGATCATTTATTCTGATCAATCATGATTACTCAGGGTAAATTGTTATGTGTTTTACACACATATTTATATATATGACTAATCCAAATGTCAAATATATTTGTCGAGGCAAATATGGAAAGCCAAAATTAAAAAAGTATAAAATTTATATTTATAAGAAGGACCATGGTACTTTTCAAAGCATCTTTAACCATGACATGGTTTGAAAACAAGTAAGGCTAAAAAGTTAACAACACTTTAGAATTTTAAATGTGTAAATATATTATGAATTTTATTGAATCTTTACTTGAAAAACTGAAACATCTGAGGACTTTTTGGCTAAAGATGAAATAAAAACATGATCAGTATTTAATCAACAAAGAATAATGTTAAGTTGCAGCACCAATAAAATGTGTCTGGAAATAACCATGCAGACTGATACACACAGTAAAGAGTTGGCTCTTACCTACAATTGGTTGATGTACTGCTTCTACTGGTATCTTCTCTCTTGCTGCTGTAAGCAACCTTAGAGAATACAACAGTTAAAAGAAATGTCAGGATTGTTTCTTGTGACAGTGAAGCAATAGAAAAAACCTTATATGCAATGGAATTCACCAAGACTTAATGGTTCTATTGTAGTGGGTCTAGTTACCATAATAACCCATAAAATGCTCATACATAACTGTGATTTTTGCAAAATGAATTTTCATTTTTAGACTTTAGAATTTTTCAAATATTACAGAATCACTTTTACTGATTTTTACGAGACCTTAAGAGATAACAGATAATCAAATTTTGTTTATGTGGTATGAGGATTCATTAAAAAAAATAATAAAATGGATGTCAATACATTTCCATTTCAGAAATCAGCTGCAGTTATTGTTGTTCAGAGCAGTCATAATGATCTACAGTATATATTAGAATAAAAACTGAAACATTATGTTATAGAATGTTAGTTAACCATGTAAATACCCAGCTGTCACAGTCAGACTGTTGATGGATAGCAGTCAAGGCCAGCTGAGCTGCATGTTGTTTGGCTCTGTATTCACTTTCACCCTCTCCCATGTATACGTTTGCATCAATGATATACTTGCAGAAGAATCTGTTGAACAAAGTTATATTATTGGCTTGTTTCTTTCTCCCAATTTGCTCCAATTGCATTTATTAAGCTTGTTATTGCTCAGCTACTTACCGGGCTTTGTTTGCTGGACCACATCTTTTCTCACAGGTGTAGTTGACAGAAGTATTTGTTTTTTGACAGTACTGGTTGAGCTTCTTTACAAAATTGGTCTCATCCCTGCTGTATTGATTTTCAGCAGCATTACTCCTGGTTTCTTCTCTGCTCCGTCCCTCACCTTTAGTACCTACACTAGCTTTAAGGTTTAGCCCCACGCTGGATCTGTGGAGACATTTTTAATGTATGCTTTAAATAAATTGTCAATTTATGTTTCACTGAGGAATTCAAAAGTAGGCAACAGAACCGGCTTCCTTTTTTAAAGTGGACGTATTTCGCAACTTTATGCAAATTTCATAGTTCCTTGATCCAGTGTAAATAAAATGTTAGTAACATAAGTTGATCAAAAAAAAAAAAAGGATTGATCACAGCTGGGATTGTTATACAGCTGGTTCACGACTTTACCTTTAAATGGCTGCTCATACTTCTGTGGGAAGAGACTTGAGGACACATTTATATGGCAAAAAGTTATAGGAGCGAAATGGCTGCTGGTCCAAATCTAAATACGATGCAAGGGCGGAATTATGTTATTCACCGGCTTTGTATCATTATAAAGGGGGACAAATAAGAACATTTCCAGATTTAAAAAAAAATCTACAAAAAGTGTTGTCTTTTTCAGAAATATTATTTAAATATTATATTATTTTTAAAATATCTTTTTGCAATTACCGTACATCCCATCTGTGCTTTGGAATATAAAGCACAGAGGGATGGCTCTTTTTCAATACATTCATTTTCTTTAAAAAAAATCACATGTGTAAAGTCTGTGGTCAGCTGTAAACCAGGGGAACACGTCACACGATATTGTTCAACTTACATTTTTGCATCATCGGGTCCATCGCAGCCCAAGTCCTCGTATGAAATCCCAGAGCCCGTTCTCTGAGCGCCGGTGCGTAGTTCACATTCGAGGTTTCTACTCGCCATGATTTGGACCGCTGTAGTCAAAACGTAGGCTAAATGACATTGCAATATACTGGATCCAGTCTTCTCGGT